GAGGTAGGTTAGGCTGAGAAGCAGCGACTGGACCAAAGTAACCTAGTGGGCATCATGGGTCAGGATTTGAACCCTGATCTCCCAGGTTCTAGTCCAACACTAACTGCTACACCTCACAATCTCTGCTGTACCTTTTGTTTGTGGTGCTTCAAGTGATTTGATTCTTATCTGATGAGTTAACTGTCTTTATGTAGTACGCCGGTTTGAAAATCTTGACTAAGAAGCAATTTATGCATTTTTAAAAAATACATAGAAGGATACAGATGGCAGAATATACTGCGATAATATGCAGAGCACCTGCTCTGTCACTGCATAGACCATGGGAGGAGAGGGCTTTTTGGTAGGGCAATGATCCTCCCTTAGGCTTTGCTTGTTGACTCCCATCAGTTCCCAGCTTCTTTCATCTACTACATTTTGGGATCACTCATGTTGTGTGCCAGAAGGCTTTGCTCTAACTCATCCAAGTCCAGGAGCACATACACCAAAATGCATCCCGGGACCTTCTACATGCCAAGCCAATGAGCTACTGGGACACAGCGAAGGGTGGCTGGGTGCTTTTAAAAATGGCAGCTCTCCTAGGAACATAAAAATCTACCCTGTCCTGATTCAGACCACTGAATTGTCTACACCAGTGTTTCCCAAACTTGAGTCTCCAGCTGGTTGGTTTTTTTTTGGACTGCAACTCCCATCATCCCTAGTTAGCAAGGCCAGCGGTCATGGATGATGGGAATTGTAGTCCGGAAACAGCTGGAAACTGAAGTTTGGGAGACACTGGCCTACACTGATTGGAAGCAGTTCTCTGGGGTTTCAGACAGGGAATCCTTCCCAGCAGCGCCTCTCCAAGGTTCCAGTGAGGAAGCTCTCCCAGCCCTGCTTGGAGATACCAGGGATCTTCTGCATGAGTCACTGAGCTACGGTCCTCCCCTCTCGTGAGATACGTGCCGAGCTCTCCAGGTCTGGATCTCCTCTGAGAACATCCAGTGATGTCCTCAGCAAGTGGTTTCAGTTTTTTGTTTTCAAGATGGGTTCTGCTCCTGATCTGTTTCCTTTCCCCCGGAATACATTTGCTGCCTAATGTGTGTTGACACAGCAAATACACATGTTTGTACAAACAACCCAGCTGAGAGCAGCTTTGAAAGCCCCTTTGCAGGAGGCGTAAAATGTGCTGCGCAGATGACGGTGGGAGACCCGCCTCCCTGGCTGCTCTGGAAAACATTCCCGTTGGGGAAGAAAAGGCTGGAAACTGGCGGCGACGGCGACCGATAATGCCGGCGAAGAAATTTCTGCAGGCAAAAACAGATGTTGCATTATGCTAAGGAGCAAGGCTGAGAGGCACGATCAGATCTGGCTTGGGCTCATGGATATCGCATTATATCTGGGATCATGGGACTATTATCCATTGTGCAAACTTTGGATGAGTGGGACATTAACACCTAAGGCACAAACAACATAGAAGAAGAGGAGACCAATAATTTCACATGTGGATCTGCCCTGAAGTCATTTTGGGTACCTTCCAACTTTACAGTTCTATGACCGTATATCCTGCTTTGCACTAGATGACCCTTTGCACCCTTCTCAAGTTTATAATTCTAGGATACATTGAAACAGAGTGCAAGGAGTGCAATTTAAAGCACTGAAGGAACTTGCAGGTAGGAGGACGTTCTCCAGGCTCACATTTTTCCGTGTTCCCTCACCTGAGTTTCTGAGCCTGGCAACATGGACATGTTTCTTTCATTTTGCTCAACCCTCAAAAGCTGTTCTTCATTTGTTGCAGTTCTTGAAATTACTCACTACCCTGGAGAGCTTTGAAGGAAAATCTGGGTTGGGAAGATATTTCCCCCCCTCCTCCCCAACCCACCACCAATTGCAGAAGCTGCTGGTGTTCCACTCATTCACCATTCTAGGGATCGGAGGAATTTTAGAGAACAATGGCTAAAACTCGATGCAAATGGCCAAAGAAGCAAGTCTACATGGAGAGAAGGAGAAAGATTCTCCCCATATGTGGCGAATAAAGAGATGGGTCCATGTGGAAAGGACACATTAGGAAATGGATGACAAAGCGGTTGTTGTTTGCAGGATCCATGCATGTGTTTTGTCTGTTTGTTTTT